TGAGATGTGAGTTTAAATGTAAATTTAAGTGCAGGCCAACGTATATAATCATTATGTATATCATCATAATCACAATAGAGAGGCAGTAGAACTAGGACCAGCCCTATCTATTGGAACACCCTAGGTCAGGAAGAGTTGCTCGACCTCCCTTCCCGACGAAGTCATGCAGAGTTCTTGCGTAAGAAGCCCTGATCTGTCTTTATAGCTCAGCTACACGTCTTAATGCACACACACAAATAATATTGCACCTTTAAGATAGCTTCCTCGACTACTGCAGAGTATTATGAAGTCGAGCAGTCCTGAAGCACGCACTCGTTGGCTTTTCTTTCCTCTCTTTTTCTTTACTTTGTTATGTTTTTTTTTTTCTATTTTGTTGACTTCTATTTATAACATAAAATAAATAATACGTGGGCTATTACGTCGTCCGCATATTGTACTGACCACATTTTACCAGTTTTTGTCGCTGTTGACATCTGGTCGGGGTTTTTGTTTCGTTTGCGCTTGATATTTTTATTGTTATTGTTATGGCTTTGAGGAATCGCATTATATTTGTCGTTTCTGACACAAGCCAATCGACTAGATATCTAATTGCAGCAGAGGCATTACAGTTTCCCCGTTTTTCCGCAAATACCATTACGAAATATAAAAACAAAAACTAAATGATGGAATTGTATACCACGGAAGAAAACAATTCATCAGACGTTCTAGAGGCCATGAGAACTGCATAGAAAGGTGATAAGTAAGCGAGGCAAATACCGAGTGGAAACAGATTAATAAGAGGGAGCGAACGCAGGGGTAAAGCAGAGAGAGCATGTAAGTGAAATTATAGAAGTGAGATGGAAAATAATATTACAGGAAAAAAGGAAGAGAGAGGCAGGAAAAAGGAGAGAGAGAAAGAGAGAGAGAGAGAGAAAAAGAGAGAAAGAGAGAGAGAGAGAGACAGAGCATTACTTGATTTTATGAGATTCGCGTAGAGGGGCGATACACGTTTAAAAGATAAAATCAAGTACCATTGTCGATATAACTTTTGGTGTCACAATGAATCTTATTTTTAAACAATGCAGCAATGAATTGAAGATTTGACTTATATTTGCACACGGAACATCAAAATATTATTAGATCAAATAGTCGCAGCGGAAACTCAAGCCAATTTATGTCTGTTTTGACTTTTACATGAACTTGTTGTCAAAGTATCGCCCAACAATTTTTGCTTATTGTTTTTTGACAACTTTTCGCAAATTGGTTTGTCTTCTCTTTCGTTTTCAACTATGAACTTTTTCTCACTTTTGGTTGGCATCCCCGAACAATTAATGGACCATGTATAAACTCAGCAGTTAACTGTCACGGCCGATGTTCGATTAAAATGCAATATAAAAAAGATTGCACACAGGCGATGTGAGCTTCAATTTGTACAACAAGAACAACCAATTGCAACAGCAACAACAACAACAACAACGATAACAACAAGAACATCAAAAACAACAACTGAAGCTAATTGCTATAAAGGTCCGTGTTCAGGTTCATGTTCTGCATAAAAGCTATTTTCTGCCAATTATACCTAAGGAATATACATATGTTATATGCATTTGACTTTTAGCCCAATCATTTAATGCAAAAAGTAACTTGGTAAAGGTAACTTTCAAAAATGTTAAATAAATTTTAAGCTACGCAAAGGCAATTAGATGCAACATATGTCACGAGTATGTTGAATTAAATGCTTTACTTAGAAAAGTGCTCAGGCTTTAGAAAAGTGTACTCCTTTGTGGAGCTTGTAAATGAAATATTAAAAAAATCTTTAAGACTGTCTTTTTATGAGTATGCTCCAAAGAAAGGATGCAAACGTAAACATGATGATAACAACTTTTATAACAGGGTATACTGCTCGTATTCTGCTAACAGGGTATTCTCTTCCCCGCATAAACCTCACCGCTTGGAGGCAGGAATTCCAAACAGAAAGCAAAACTGGTTGATGCAAATAAAATGGTTTATTGTATGTTTGAAAATATGACGAGATTTGCCAATTTATCCGCATAAATATATTAAATTGAAAGATTAAACGAAGTTTCTAGATGTATAAAAGGTTTATAAATCAAACCCAAACACTAGACTTGGGCTCGAAACGTACCTCTGAAAACTTTTGTTGTATTTGCAGACATGATACAATATAAAGAAATACCTCTGTATCCTCTATTTCTTAATTGTAAGTCATATCTTGTTAAGATTTCGTAAAAACTATCTTTTAGTTGCTCAGATTCTATTATGTTCTACAATAATTATATTAATAAGAAAAGCTAAACGCAAGCATTTCCATAATTCCGGGTATTCTGTAGTCATGCACTCAGTTTTGCAGTGGCAGTTTTCTTATTTGTTCCATTAAAATTTACATAGCATAGAATTCAATTTCGTGGTTCATTTCATTTCCATTTGCGGTGAATATAAATCTAATTCTTTTGTGGAGCGCCACTTGAGTTTGGATCGAACTTATCTGATACAAAGGCATTTGTATTTTATTGCAATTGCATTTTCCTCTAACGAGCATTTTACAAAATATTTCGAAAAGAAAGGCTAAAGAAAATGGACTGAACAGAACAGAAACGAATCGAAAAATCGTATACAAATACGGGCCAAAAATATTCATTTGGTCTTTTAAGATGGCATTTGGTGACGTGCGGAGATCGGCGAACGTCGCGCATAAAAATCTATTTTGATTCAAGGTCCCGTCATCAGTTTTTGTTATAGTTGTACAAATTGTTGAAATTGAGCAAAGAAAAATAAAAAGGGAAATTGACAACATAAACAAGAAGACTCAAACAAATTGTTATAAAAAGTTATGACAATAAAACTGAAAAATTGACTCGATGGAATTTGTCAAAATACTCGAAGCACGTTCTATATAGCAACACTGCTTATATTTTCTTATTGTACAACACTGTTTTTAAATTAAAAGAGGAATGCAGAGAAGACGGGAATAGACTAGATGCTCGAAACATTTCCTAAAGCAACTCAGCTTTATTAATTACCTATACAAAACTGTTCTGAAATAAAAAAGAAGTATGCGATAAAAATGGGCATAGCCTAATGCTCGAAACACTTTCTAAAGCAACTCTGCTATATTAATTCATTGTGTAACACTATTCCTGAAAGAATGGGCAAATAAAGAACAAGATGGGCTTAGTCGACATGCTCGAAACACTCCCATAGCAACTCTGTTATAACTACAAATTGTGCAACTGTCTTCTTTAATAAATAAGAAAAATGAGAACATAAAAGGCAACGCACACCCGAAAATGTAGAGCGACAACAATTGATTATATGTTGCACAAAATGACAACACCAGCCACATTATTGTTCAATTATTCAATTGCACAATGATATTCAAGTATGTAGTTGTGACTATGTCTATTTATTAAATGCGGGATGAGCTGTCGTTTGTTGTTTCCTTGGCTTACTCAATCTTTATAAGCGCTTCGACTGCCCCTCAGCCGGCACATCTAAGGTCGAAGAAATTGAAAGCATTTGCGTAATTTGAGTTCAAAATGAAAGCGTTTGTGTTTTGGGCATTCAGTGCAGAGTATAATGCTCAAGCATTGCGGCAATTCACATACACAAATATACATCAATACACCTATTTGATACACACATATGTGCGTGGCTCTTGTGAGTTGCGTATACGCCATGGCCGCCAATATAATGTTTTTTGATAGTATACATATATATTATAAATGTTATTCATAGCAGATTATGTAAGAACCAGATTTCTTAAGCCCAGCTGCGCTGTCCGGTGCTGCAAGCTCAAAAACAAATTGGTCAGTAGTTCGGTTCGCGGTTCGAAACAACTGCCTGCCTTTAGGTTCGGTTCGTGAATAAAATGTTCTTTATACATAAGCTGCTTGATTTGATTTATGTTCATCTCTTTTATATTATATTAAAATATGAGCTAATTTCTCTAAACGCTTTTGCACCCTGTTTTAAAGAATATCCGACATTTAATAGAGAGTCGATCTGTATTGGATTAGTAAGCTCCTGCATTGATGGACGTCACTATTATTGGTTTCGTTTGGAGAAGTGAGTTTCTGGACAAAGATTTATAAATTTATATTTATATATTCTTTGAAACTCAGTGAGAATGATAGGAATACGTTATCTGTAGGTATTGCATTCTTAGCTATTGAATTACGGTCTACCTTCCAACGGCACAAAGTGAGCACCTTTTGGAGCTCAGAAATATCCTATACCAAATACTTTACGAGTCACGCAATACACCCAAGAAATTTGGCGTGCAAGCATCGAAAACTCCAAAAAAAAAAAAAAAAAAAAAAACAAAAGAATTAATTGAAAAATCAAACCAAATTCCAAAATCTAAATTTAGATAATATCTGTTTCACTCTCGAATGCTGGCTGATGGCTGGGGGCATACGAAATGTGCCCAAAAAATTGTCACCGTTTTGCCTGGCAATGTAAATGTACAATATCAATTGGAATGAAACGCGCTGCGAAGCGCACAGTGTGTGCGATTCCTTGGCATTATTTTAATCTGCTATCGCCGCATCGCATATGTCCGTATAACCATCAGATCTTACGGGCTCTAAGCGGCGGGGCGGGCGGAGGTTGAGCATTTCAAATTCGGCTATGCAAATGTAGCGGAAATACCAAAATAATGCCAGATCGGCTGCGCTTCATGTATAAGTGTATGAGGAGTACGAGTACATATGCTATACATATACTCTATGCATATACACAAGCACAGAGTACAAGTTCGGCTGCTCTTAACTGCCCGTCAAGTGTGTCACTTGAAAGACAACGGACAGCAAGACACACCTGCGTTTTGTGGATACCTATGCCTGTATAAGTATATGCGTGTGTTTATAATATAGATTTGTATATACTTTTACCCTTTGGCTGTCTCAGCGCTTGACTTCAGCTTTAAGCGCTCAGTAATGTTGAGCATTATAAATAAATCAATTCAGAAACACTTAATTATGCATAGAACATGTCATTACCTTGAAATATGTTTCTCGTTGCTCCCAAAAGATTTATCATACAGTTTTGGCACACATATATGCATATATGTATATATATATACATACATATATTGTAGCACAACACAATTAACTATATATTTATGTACTTAGTCATTACAACAACTCGCAACAGAACTTTAACATGTATCTTTTAACTTTTCTAATTTACGCTGAAAATATGTGACATAAAAAATATATATATATATGTATAAAATATAAATATATTTCAGAAAATGCACATTAATTTGGCACAAGTTTTAGGCACCAACGCGTTAAATGAAAGAATGGCAAAGAATTTAAATGAAACTATTCACACGGTGGGGCGTTAATATATACAGTAAAATCATATAAAAAGTGTATAAAAAAAAATATAATCAAAATGTGTAAAACAAAATTAAATAAAATTAAAGTGTCAACACTTGCGCTTAATACTACCCAAAAAAAAAAAAAACGAAAATATAAAAAATAAAACGTTTGCCATAAAGCGATAATAAAAATAACGCAAAAACCTACCAATCAAAAAACATATAAAGTATTAAATGGTAGCACATCAAAAGTTTATATATGTGAAAAGTACAAGCAAAGCTAAACGAAATATTATTGTATTCAAATTTGAAATTGTTAGTTAAATAAAATATAAAAAAAGAAACAATGGCTAACTGCGGCACGCCGAAGCTTAAATACCCTTGTGGACATAAGGCGCACGTTTATGCAGATGTGTGAGGAGAATTCTAAGGCTCGCATTGCTGGGTTAAGATATCTCAAAATGCAAAACATTTTCCCAAAGACAAACTCACATTTAAGTTATCTTGAAAACAAAATCTCTGTTTAAACATCAACTAAGTTTGCGACCGATTGTTCCTATGGCAACTACTTTTATGATATAGTGATCCGATCTGGCTGAATAAGAGACGAGCATTCATGACAACATTTTAAAACTATCTTGTGGAAGGTATAAAAATAATTAGAAAATTAATAATAAAATAAAAAACTGAGAAATATAACAATTTATTTAAACAATATAGAAATCAGGAAAATCAGATCTAAAAATAAAATGAAAATATTTGACATAGATGTCGAAAATTTCGAGGGTATTTAAAACAACAATTAGAAAACTAATAATTTTATCAATTTATCAATTATATGTAAGCATTTATGAAAACAATATCAGAATCAAAAAAAAAGTATTTTAAATACATTTTGAAAATTTCGAATGCAGAAAAAGATTTTCAAAAATAACGATAAATATTAGAAAATTAATAAATAAGCAATTATTAAAAGAATATTAAAATCAGAAAAAACCGAAAACCGAAAACCAACAAGAGGTTCTAGTGGGAGCTCTCGATTAGGGGATACCCTGAACCCTCTTCTTCCAACATCAAATGCATATATATATATAATCTACATTAGAAGCTATATGTCAAGTTTGGTGACTCTAGCTCTTATTTACCAAAATTACCCAAAAAACAGGAAATCGATATCGATTTTTATCGACTGCTTGAAACGACGTAAGTTATCGATTATCTTAAACAAACTCGATCTGCGAAGGCACTAGGAGCACCTACACCTGAATTTAAAGTCTCTAGCTCTTATAGGTTCTGAGATCCTTGCGTTAATACATACGGACGGACGGACGGACGGACGAACAGACGGACAGACAGACGGACATGGCTAGATCGACTCGGCTATTGATGCTGATCAAGTATATATATACTTATACCCATTTTTAATGTGTTCAGGGTATAAAAAGTTTGAAATTAGTTTACATCAATTTCGAAAAATGTGCAATTTTTTATGCAACAAAATATATATTCATATATAACTTATTCACCAAACATAAATATATAGATATTGAATTTTTTTAAATACCGTAAATAAACAAAATGAAATTAATGTATGTGTATAAAAGCCGCCAAAGTGAGTTTATTCAATTATTATTATATTTATTTATATTTGCCAATGGACTGCTGCCAACGAAAATCAAATGTGAAACGATCGTTTATTATTAAACATATTGAAGATATTCAGCATTCACACAATATTCAGCACCCACGCAGCACGCGGCTTAAACAAAAACAAAAACAAAGCACAAAACACAAAAAAAAAAAACAAAAAAATTTAACAAAAACTCGTAACATAAAACAAAATGATGAAGAGGAAGCAGTTTGAAGAGCACCACGAATTCCGTCGCAGCGCACGTGAAGATCAACGCCAGAGCATCGCGATGAGACTGACTAACACAGCGCAGATCGAATGCCGCCACGCAACAGGCACAAGTCCCGCCAGCGACGGGCTGGTCTTTGGGTTTACAGCTGTGGGGGATGAGGGGCTCGTTATGGCTGCGCACATGGGGCGGGGGTTTGGTGCTGCTTAGCAGGGGTAGGCTGGGCGGACAGTGAGCGCGTGGGCAGCTGCCATTTAACGACTTGATAAATGAATGAAACGCGTCGTACTCGATTTGCGCCAATTGTAGAGAGTGATAAAGACAGAGCGAAACGGAGAAAGAGAGAGAAGGATGAAAAGAACAAAAACGCATAGAAATGCGCAAAAGCTCTTACAGGTGTCAGTGCAAGGGCTGCTTAAATAAAGCTCAAGCATTAAAAGCTGTCACACAGCTCCTACTAACAGGTGCCTGCCTGCCAAAAGCTCAAAGCTGCAAGTTGCGTTTGCTTAAACGACAATCGCACCAGAGCTTTCAACGACATGTGCCTGGAAAATGTGAAAAGCTAAAGCGAGAGCTGGTCAAGCAAAGCACACAAACTGCCCAGCCAGGGCGCAGAGCTGCTTTCAAAAAGCTCACACTTCGGCAAGGGTTGCTGGCAAAGCTGTTGTTGACTTAATCGTTAACTTGGTAAAAAGCGCAAAGCTGAAACAGCTTCTGTTGCCAAAATTTATTACTCTTTCTGATTGTACTAACGTGGAAGTTCAAATTCTTCCTTCTAATTTAAATGATTGTGTCTTTAGTGACATTCAGGCTTTTGACTGGTCATCGCCTTTTGGCGTATCGCCATCTTTTGGCTTATCTCCACTTTTCGGCTTGTCCCCGGCCCCCTTTGGTGGCGTGGCACCTGCTGGTGCTGCTGCAGCTGGTGGTGCTGCAGCTGGTGGTGCTGCAGCAGCTGGTGGTGCTGCAGTTGGTGGCTTATCCGATTTTTTAGCACCACCTTCCCCTGCTGCCGGCTTATTATTCTTTTCAGCATCCTTTTTACCATCACCTGCTGGCTTAGCGCCTTTTTGAACATCACCGGCCGCTTTTGGCTTACCCTCTTTGGTTGGCTTCTCTTTGACTTTCTTGGCGTCCTGCTTCTGCTTTGCTTCCAGCTGGGCAGCCATAAGTGCTGCATCACCGACGGGCACATCGTTGATCTCCTCAGGTGGCGTACGCTTGGGCTTGCCAAAGCAAACCTCCGAGATGCGTTTATGGTCGAGCATATAGCCGGAGACGCCGCGTATTTTGGGTTCCATATTTTTTGAATATATATCGGCGACAAGCTCTTCCATACCTACTTCGCGATCGGCGAGCACCTTTTTGGATACCCCATCGATCTCTTTGCGGACCGCAGTATCGATTTTCTTCAGTTCCTCCTCATCGGCCAAGCATAGTGCAATTATTTGCTTTCGGAAACTTTCGATAGGATCCCGTTCCGAGCGCACCTTTTTGATCTCATCACGCGAACGATATGACGTGCCCGGATCAGACATAGAGTGTCCCTCGAAGCGGTACGTGTACATCTCCAGAACAATGGGACCATGTTTCTGCACATAATCAATGGCAAATTGTGTAGCACTGCGCACGGCCAGCACCTGGTTGCCATCGACCCAGAGGCCGGGTATATATTGCCCACGCATATAGAAATCTGTTAGGGCCGCATGCCGTTCCATGTGAGTGCCCATGCCATAGTGATTATTCTCACAGACGAAGATGCAGGGCAGGCACCACAGCTTGGCCATGTTGAACGCCTCATGCACTTGACCTTGATTGGCCGCACCGTCGCCATAGCATGTTATACAAACGCCGCCATCGCCACGAAAGCGATGAGCCAGCCCAATGCCAGCGCCCAGCGGCACCTGGGCGCCAACAATGCCATTGCCGCCATAGAAATTATCGCTATACATATGCATAGAGCCACCCTTGCCGCGACTGCAACCGCCCTTAACGCCGACAAGTTCACCAATTAGGCCCAATGATGGAACGCCCATCAGATGGGACCAGCCATGGGCACGATATGCTGTAATAACGCTATCCTTTTTACGAAGTACGGCACACATGCCGACGGCAATGGCCTCCTGGCCAATATATAAATGACAGAAGCCGCGTATGTGCTTCGCCTTGTACAAGTTGCCAGAGGTGACCTCAATGCGACGTACCTCCACCATTTGCTTGTACATTTTCAATGCATCTTCACGCGACAGTTCAACATCCGTCGGTGGGCCCTTATCCAGCTCATAGCACTTGAAAGTCTAAGTAGAAGAATCCAGCTCAATGGATGAACATGTTTTTGACCAAATATGCAACTTACGTTCTCCAGCGTCAGCGTTGAGCAGCCCGAACTTAAATGACGCTGCGGCCGCCAAATAAATCGCGTCTTACGCTTACCCCCCCATAAATTATAGAGTAACTGAAATTGCATATAACATTGACGGCCCTTGGCCGTTCGTTTAGCTGCTGACATCATTTCTCTAGCTAGTTTTAACGGTTCGAGCAACAGCTTCTTCTTAGGCCCGTAGGTCGCCTCTTGGCCTACCCCCTATCAATTTACAACTATTGCTTATGTATCTTCGAAAGATTTAAGAAATTACGAATTTTAGTATAATTTTAAAATACCGCCGCATTGGAAAATATAACAGAATTTCTAAATAAAAATGCCAAAAAAAAAAATAAATAAAACAATAAACAGGCTCATGAAACATTTGAGTTAAAGATTGATATTTCAATGTGATCTGCGTTTATAATAAACATATTTTGGTTTTTCTTTTCCTGTCCCAATTGCAGCATTTGTGTTGATAAAACATATAACATATTAAGATAACAGGTTAATGGTCCAAATCAATATAACTAAACCCTTTTTATCTCTCTGTCTAAAGCTATCACTTCTTCAATTTATGCTCTATCGCCTACCAAGTCTAACAAGTAAGAGGTTCTAGTCGGCAGCTGCCGAATACTAGGAACTACACTGAACCCTCCCTTTCAAACACCAAATGCAGTTCGCGCAACGCGTTCGTTTGAAGTAATAAAGATAAATCTACTCAGTAGACACACAAATAATTGAGTATTATTGAGAAAAAATAAATAAAAATAGCAACATAGAAAACAATCGCAATCGCAATGCTATTAATAGAATTGGAAGTAGAAGCGCATGAAGATGGCGATAGGTATAAAATGAAAGATACTTGATATATATATAATATTCTAGAAGCTCTACATAATACCCTTTTTTACCATTTTCAATGGGTTCAGGGTATAGAAATATTTTAATCTTAGCGCAGCACACCCAAAGATAACCCTTACCTAGGCCCTTTTTAAATATTCAAATATACCTAATATGCATTCAGGAGGATATTTCGAAATATAATCCATGTGCATTTTATGTATATTGATTTATGTTCTTGATCGCAATAACAAAAACTAAGCATTGAAATTATTTGGAAAACACTTGTTAAACATTCCTCGTTTTACTCGAAACATAGATTTGTCAGATATGGCCCATATGGGCTACTACAGTTTATAAGTCAATGAGGAGCAGTCCCACGTTTAGTTTTCAAGAACAATTTTTTTTAATACAAGCTCTATAACATCCATCTATATTTTGTAAAGCTTTTTTGATAATCGGACAACTATTTCATTAAGGTATTATAGAAAAAATTGCATAAAATTGAAGCGTTTTTTTTTTGTTTTCATTGATAGCCCATTACAAGTCTGATAAGTCTAACTTTAACTTTAAATACAAATCAAAGTCAAACTGTAATATTATAAGGATCTCATAGTAACAATAGGAAGAAAATTAAGCTATTGAATGTGAAACAATTAAAACAACTACGTATTAGATTTAATACGGCACTGCCTAAGATCTGCCAACAAAAATGGTAAACCGGGTTCGCTAGTAAAGACTATATATATTTTGCTCCATATATTCTTTTCATAAGCTGCGTTTTTCAATTGCCCAAATAGTTCATAAAATTTCACAACCTGTTTACGTATGTATTTACTTTATATTTCAACAATTTACACCTCGCTTTAACCATATTGAACACGTTCATATAATATCCGTTGCTGTTGCCACTGGCCCAGGTTGAGTGATTGACTTTGGGTCTAAAGTGTGTGTTTCTTGGGGGGGTAGGGCAGGGTGTGCATAATTCGTGGTTAGCTACCTTGTGTCTTTGTATCTGTATGTCTTTGTATTTGTCTGTATTTGTGTGTGCTTGTGTGTGTCTGTGTGGGTAAATTTTATGTCTAAACGAAAAACTATTATTCATTCACAATTGCACGCGTTCAAATCGCGTAGTATACGCATTTTATCTACTCGAAAAACAAAATGTTCTAACATCAACTTTGGGCTTAAGATCTAGAGATTTCGCTTGTTATGCATGCGTGTGTGTAGGTCTGGCTCGTGTGTGTCTGTGTGTGTGTGTGTGTATATATGTGTGTGTGCATGGGTATATGTATCTTATAGAATCGTTGCATTTAAACTGTTTAATGATTGACACCCTTCCGCTCCTGGATGTGATCAATATTGTAGCCATTGGTGCCGCGCAGTTTGGGCTCCAAGCAATTGGAGTAGACATCGGTCCACAAATGGCTAAGAGCCAGCTCAGTACCGCCCTTGGCTAGGGCGGTAGCTTCATCCACTTCCTTGCGCACTTTCAGATCAATGGCCTGCACAATAATTTGCAATTAGAAAAAAACGTTGCTTTTCGAAATCTTGGCAGCACCGACCTTAACTTCATCGGTGGTAATAAGACCCAGCTCGATGCACAGCTCCTTGAAGGAGGTGATTGGATCACGCTTTTGGCGCACCTCCTGGATTTCCTCGCGCGTACGATACGATGTGCCGGGATCGGACATGGAATGTCCCGAATACCGATAGGTATTCGTCTCCATAACAAGTGGGCCTTGTTCGTTTACATACTTGATAGCAAACTCGGTGGCGCTGCGCACGGCCAGCACATCCATGCCGTCCACCCAAATGCCGGGCAGGGCATCGCCGCGCGTATAGTAGTCCGTATTGCATGAGGCGCGTTCAGAGCTGGTGCCCATGCCTGTCGCAAAATTAGTGTCGCGGATTAGATACAGATATATCTATATGCTGAAATGTGCCAATTTACGAACCATAATTGTTGTTCTCGCAGACAAAGATGACGGGTAGCTTCCACAGATAGGCCATGTTGTAGGCCTCAAAGACCTGGCCCTGATTGGCAGCACCATCACCATAAAGGGCGAGGCACATGCCGCCGTTCCCCTTGTATTTGCAGGCAAGAGCGACGCCGGTGCCAAGCGGCACTTGGGCGCCAACAATACCGTTGCCGCCAAAGAAATTTGGCGAGTACATGTGCATGGAACCGCCTTTGCCGCGCGCACAACCGCTCTGTACACCTGTCAGCTCGCCAAGCACACCCAAAGGTGGCACGCCCATCAAATAGGTCCAGCCGTGCACACGATATGCCGATATAATATTGTCAACATCCCGCATAGCTGCCTTCATGCCAACGGCGCAGGCCTCCTGACCCGAATACAGATGACAGAAACCGCGAATGATCTTCTCCTTGTACAGATTGCCTGCGGCCGTCTCGATGCGTCTGATTGTCTGCATCTGTGTGTAGTATTTGAGCGCCTCATCCTTTGTAAGCTTCACTGTGGTCTCGGGTCCCTCCTCCAAGCGATGTAGTTTGAAGGGCTATTCCAATTAGACGCACACGGCAGCGACAGAGAAAGGTATACAAAGAGTGTGCGAGTGAGTGAGAAAATGTCTAAATAAATGTGCGCGGAAGAGAGACAGGTGCCCAATGTTTTCCATGCAAGTGTTGCCATTTTTTATAAATCAGGTATTTTTCAGTATAATAATAATAATACTATGTGTTCATACAACATTGTTTGAAGCTCTTTCTATTAATTTGATCTCGCTCTGATTTGAATTCAATTTGTTCTTTCAGAAAACTTGTGCGAGAGAAATGCAGCGCTCTTTTTGCATAACCCGTCGATCAATTTAAAGCGTTGGAGAGCGCAGGGCTGCTGCTGCCGCTGCTGCTGCATGCTGATAAGAAAGTGCGTGTAGCTGCCGCTGCCGACGTCGGTCACGCGCTGCTTGTAAGACAGTGTCAGTTAGTGACCTTGGGGCCGGCAATTCTGCTAATCGACGACCAAAACGCGAAAATGCAACTCTGTGCAATCAGGTCATACAAAAATGAACGGACGGACGGACGCACGCATGCAAACACACACACACACAGACGCATTATGTAATCACTAGCGTTTTTTCTTTTAGCTAGAACGGATTAGTTGTTGGTGTATCTCTTTATGTACTTACTCGATTCACCTGCACGGTCGCTTCCGTGGCATAATTGTTGGTCTTTGCGACACCGGACTGTGCTGCATTCTGGAATAAACCGAAAAATGACGATGAATAACTGCGTCTGCTGTCAAATCTTAGATGATTTTTAAGTTGTTGCTGCTGCGTTGTCCAGTGGTTGTTGTACTTGTTGTTGCGGTTGATGCTGTAGTTGTTGCTATTGTTGCTGCTGCTGTTGGCTTGCTTTGTATGTTGTTGTTGGTTTGTATTGGTGACAGTGACAAGAGTTTTGTTAGTGACAGCAACGGCTGCTTTACAGTTACGTACTTTTTGCAATTGTTTTACAATAATTGGCAATTCACTAACGCGCGACAACGTACGCAACATTTCGACGGCTTTCGGCTTGGACTATTCTCTCTCGTTCGCGTAACAGCTGCTGGCCAATGGCCACAAAAAATACGCAATTTTCAACGTCAAATGTTACTAAATAAGCCATATTACATAAAATATACTGCAAAAAGTACCAAATAAATCGATAGCGATATATTCAAAAAGTATGGTCACAATACGAATTTCATTCAGCGATATACTCAAAAGATATGGTCACACTACATTTGCACATGTACGAATTTCTTGCCAATGATTTATCAAATTTGTTGATCAATATTAACAAAACAATAAACTCCAAAATGATAATGTGTTTACTTTTAAATTCATAGCTTGCATGCTCTTCACTTGAACAGATATCAATTTCTTCTTGTTGCTGCATGTTGAATTATATTTTATAACCCTCCGTAAATAAAAGACTTTCATGGTTTTCAAGAAGTACTTTTATTTCACATTAAAGATTCCATTTGGTTTTTGTTTTTCTTCACATGTCTTCTTACTCGTATATACTTTTATATGTTCCATTTCTCCACCGTTTTCATATAATTTACTAATTCTTACAAAAAACTTATGCAATCCTCATTTCATGCACAATAAAATTCAATAGAGCCTGTCGAAGAACGCGATACTTATAGAAATGAATACACATGTAAATAATATATAGTATAAAGCAACTATAGGAAATTAAAGTTACAAACTAAGTTTTAAGCTTGTTCTTCGTGTCTTTTGTGTTTGTTTGTTTGTTTGTTTGCTTTTTTAAAAGGAAGCGGCAGCTCGATTCTTTGAGTTTGCGAGTTGAATAAAAGAGAATTGAACGCTACTAAAATCAGTTTACCGTTATGCAACGGTAAAGTCAATGATACTAGAACTGAAAATGAAAATTATAACAAATTCGAATCTTTCTCTAAACTCGGCAGATATTTATCTAGCCTAGCCTTACAATACAAATCATTTGAATTTCTCTTGATTTTCCCATTCATTTCATATCAATTTGTTCTTTTTTTTCTGTTTCCATTGAAGTTATACATCAAAGTTTTTTTTTTTGTTTTTTTTTTTAATGCTTTTGTAGCACACAAATATTTTGCATTATGACAAAAAAATTATGCTTTTTTAATATGTATTGTATATATATAAACACTTATTAGAAGTCCTCTTGTGTCTGTTGGAGTGGGTTTCAATATGTATATGTATAGTCATTTAAAGAAAACATACTTTTCGTTTCTCTAGTTTGGTTATTTCTTATGTGTGTGTGTGTGTGTGTGTGTGTGTAGGTATATGTTGTTTACCGTTAGCATAAATAGTACATAGTTGTGTGAAAACGTGCAGCAAAATTCTAAAACGTAAATGTGGCAAAGAGTGGTGCGGTGTATAAAAAAGTAACGGCAAATGTGTCATGTGTGTGTCTGTGTGTGTGTGTGTGTGTGTGTGTGGGTGTGCTATGGTGAGTGCTGCAAAACGCCGGCAGATGGATAAATATCCTGTTGCTGTGTGAATAGGAAATTACGTATGTATGTATGTATTTATCTGCAGCTCTTCTTTAGCTTAAGCTGTTTAGTCGATTACTTAATTCTTTCTGCTTCCGTTTTCTTGAAGTTTTTTTTTTTGTTTTTAATGTTTTTTTATTTTTGTTTCTTTAATATTTGTTTGCTTTGTTCGCATAATTTACACCAATTTAAGTTCAATATATATTTACTTTTTGTTTTTGTGTTACTTTGCTTATTTTGCTGATTTAAAAAAAAAAATTAAGTTTTAAGAACATACATATTGCACACATATATAACGACAAGATGACAATTATCATGATATTTCATGGTTATTTAATAATTTGCTTTACTCTTGGTTTTTTATTTTTCTTGATTTGTTTTTCTTTTCCGCACATTGAATGTCTGTTTGTGGATGGATATTTATATTTTGTTTTCATTTATTTATTTATTTTTGTTTTTTTTTTTTATCTGCTCAATCGATTTAACAATTGAGATACAAAAAACCAGAGCAAATTCATAGCAAATCCAACTACATTTTATTTTACTGCTGCTGCCCAAAACGTTTCGAGAGACAACTTTAAAAATTGCTCAAAAAAAAACACACACACACAGACAAATATGGAAAGTAGTTCCAAATATCCAAATACCAATTCACATCCATTATTGCAGCACAGTTTTGTGGGTTTTAGTTTTTATCTGTAGTTGGATTGCGCACAAAAAAACAATATGGTATTCAAAAAAATTGTTCTTCTATTCTTTTTTGTAGCTTGTTCGTTCGGTTGCAGTGGTGGTTGTTGCCTGTGCTATGTATGCCAGTGTAGTGTGTGTGTGTGTGTGTGTGTGTGTGTGTGTGTGTGTGTGTGTGTGTGTGTGTGTGTGTGTCTTCTGTCTTTGTGTGTGTATCTGTGATTAGCTGCTCATTTATCGGTTGCTGCACATGCTAAGCCAAGACGCCAACCAGCGTGCAAAACCATTGGGCGCAAAATAAAAATATATAGAAAAAAAAAAACATAGTTCAAAAGAAAACATATCAAAAATGCAATAAAATGTGTGTTTTTTCTGTTTTTTATGTTACAATTTTCCATGTTAAACAACTACAATTACAATTAGGCATTTTCTGTGTCCAAACTCATAAATACTAAAGCAAAGCAGCAACAAAAAAAAAATCTTAATTGAAACGAAAATTGTAAAAAAAACTTAAATGGTACACGGAATAAGGAGGAATTGGAATGGGGTGTCAAGGAAAACTGACCAGATATATAGATAGAAATAAAACAGCGTTGGTCCAACTGTTGCGTAAGTCGATTCATACAATGGTAATGCCTAGCAGTTGTATAAATGTGTGTGTGTTCGTGTGTGTGTGTGTGTGTATGTGTGTGTGCCTATTGTATTATGTTTTATTTAGCTCCTACGACTTTGGGCGGCCTTCAAAGAAAAGCTGTACAGGATGCGATAGCTACTGCAACAGCAACTGCTTCAGATGATGTCTGTCGGTGGAAGAGACGGCGGAGACGGCGGCTCTGGCGATTCTGTTGATGACGACGCAAGCTGCTGCTGATGCTGCTGCTGTTGTTGCTGCTGCTGCTGCTGTTGTTGCTGCTGCTCCTGCTGCTCCTGCAGCTGCTGCTGATACTCAGCCTCCTCCATTTCGGCACGCAGGCAGCTGCTGCAACTGGTTGCGTCGCTGTCCTCCACTATGGTGTCATTATCATCTTCTTCAACATTATCATCTTGCTCTGGATCTGGATCTGGATCCTGCTCATGTTCGTCTTCGTGTTCGTCTTCGTGCTCGTGCTCGTGTTCCTGCTCCTCCGCATACTCAACGTAATGTTGCATCACGTTTGGTAACGCCAGTTCCTCAAGATCCAGTTCCATATCTTCAAATGATTCTTGTTGTTCTAGCTGTTGTTGCTGCTGCTGTTCCATTAACTCCTCATCGTTGTCAACCGCTGATGTTGTTGCCTGTTGCAGTTGCAGTTGCAGCTGCTGCTGCTGCTGCTGCTCCTGCTCCTGCTCCACCTCCTCCTCCTCCTCTCCATGCTCCACTTCCATCTGCACATCTAAATCCCCTGTCTGTTGTTGCTGCTGCTGCCCCTCCCGCTGCGTAACAGCAGCTGCAGCTGCAGCTGACGCTTCCTCTTGTTGTAAACGTTGCTGCTGCTGCTGCTGCTGTTGCTCCTCCAGCCTCCTGACCACCACTTCATCCGACTCGACAATACTTTAACCGCTCTTAAACAATAAAATGGCCACCTGGCCCAAATAAAAGTATATGAAATGGCGCGTCTCGTGTGTCACATACGATCCAAAGTTGCGGCCCACAATGCAATGCCATGTGGGATTGTATTTCTTGTCGAATTCCTTCTTGATATAAGCCGCAATATCCTGCAATAAGAATAGAGAGCGACATATTAGTAATTGCTTCAAGTGGCTGCTAAAAAACTCGCGACGGCGATGGAAACTCTAAAAAATAGCAAAATCCAAAACCAACACCGAAAACCAACCGACCAACATTTCATTCCCTCAACAAGCTACACCCTCCCTCCGCTCATAACGCAGGCGGCAAGCCAAACCTGTGTGTGACCTCAAAAACTGGCTGCAAGAGGGGGAAGGGGGGCGGGAAACGGGAAATACCAAAAAGTTTTCTGTGTTAATGAGTTAGTTGAGGTTGTTCTTGTTGTCGTTGTTGTTGTTTATCCTGCCTTTCGCTGGTTGGTTAGCAATATTCGGTGTAGCACACTTGGCAGCGCACAGTTTGAGCACCACTGGACCAACACAAAGGCACACACACACACACACATACAGATGTGTGAACTTGTATAGTTTCGAATGCAGCGGCAAATTGGCAAATGCCAAAGGTCATTGCCAGTCGTTTTGATGGCTAAAGCCAGGGTTACACAAACAGACGACACACGAACAGGCAAAAAAAAAAAACAAATGACAAAAGAATAACAAGAGTGCTTCAGTCTAAGGCGCCCGACTGCAATATACCCTGGACTGAGCATCTAGCTGTTAGCTTCCTTCTCTAGATACTCACACAAAAGCTTCTGTGGACAAAGCATTCTTGATTAACTTCGGTGTTTATAGTCCGATCACTATGAAATTTACAATGCTCAAAAATGGCTGATAAAAGTGCGCAAATGCTAAGGCGCAAGGCTTTACCTTTAATGTAACAAATGTTGTCTGAATTTTTGGATTGAGGATTGAGCGAAGATATACAAAAAGTGTTACAGTTCTAATCTGAATACACAAAACGAGATATGTATCCGTATTAATGTTAATCGATGTGGTGCAAATGGGTTAAAATGTAGCAGATTATATAATTCAAACTTCACAACAGGCCACAACGAATCAGTTGCTTCTCTTGATAATTTATAGGTTCCTTCTGCCTGTTACAAACATTTGCATACAACCATGATGCCCTTTTCAACCATCGACTTGCCAATGCACCCAGACTAACAAAGGATTCCAGTGCTCGATATAGAGACAGCCAAAAATATTGCCTGTCTAGGATCTGCAGTGAAAGCACAGCGAAAAATTTATTGAAATTAACTGAGATTTTATTTAACTAAACATTTCCTTTTATTTGGCATCAAATGATAAAAACTTATAATAAAATGTTGCTTGTTGATAACAAAAATTTACAATTTACAAAATAATTTTGCTAAAAGTTCCGAATAAAGCATATATAAGGCGTTTCTTTTTTCGTAAATGTATTCAAATACAACAATATATCTGAAGGGGCTGACGACTTTTTTTTTGTAAATAAATAGTTTTTTTTTAATAAAATACAAGATTTGTCAATGCGTTTACAACTTGGCTTTTCTTGCACAGGGCAACTTACAAGCAGCTTAACATTGGGATATGAACTCTTTTTAACATTTTGCCAACTTTTAGAACCTGGCGTTGCCACACTTGCACAAACTTTTAACATGAATGTCAACTACTGACATGATTTTTGAGTGCAATGTGCGAAAACGAACTTAATTATAATTTGGTTTGTTTATTGCTTTTTTGGTCAGATATTTAAAAAGTCTGTTGAAGGTATTTCGACTATTTTATGTTTAGTTTAAAAATATCGACAAAAACATGTCAATAAAACAAATAAGCATATTGAATCGAATGATTCATGTTTCACAATAGAATGCACAGGATATATCAAACATATTCACTTATGATAAAAAAAAATAAAGCCGGTAACAACAAAATTCAACCGTTTACAATAAGTGAAAAGGGATGAAAACGCAAGGAACTTAAAACAATCGAAAAGTTTTCGCTTTTACAATAGTTGAGGGAACAGATTTGCGGGTTTAGCGAATGGCAAATTGTGGAAGAGAAGCGTGTAGACAAAACTTGACAACAAATGCGTCGTGCCAAGTCGTAAACTTAACCCAATGACCCCAAAAGGAAACCTAGAACAAAACAAATTCAAAAGGCTTTTGTGACAATGTTGAATGTTAAACCTTAACTGCCCCGCAAATACATATACCCTCCTCCACTGCCATGCCACCCATTCGAGGACATGATCGCTATAAAGTTATTTCTAAGTTTACTTTAGTTTTGTTCTTGTTCTTGTTCTTGTTTTCTTGCTATTATTTCGTGTCGTGTCAAACGACAATATTGCGTTGACTGTTTTACACATTCAATTGGGGGCTCGCTAAATACACGTCCAGGTGCACGAAAGGGCCCCAACAACGTCAAGCAATTTGTTTTGGCAACGCCAAAAAATTGAACACACAACTTGCTCGCCTAAGAGCAGCGGGCAAAGCTAACAGCACGTTCCACCATTAAAGTTATCCACACATGCAACACAATCTACCTGTGCCTAGACATATGTAGCTTCTGCAATTTGCTGCTGGACATTTTTGGACACAAATACCAAAACCAAATCAAGTATTCAAAATGAAGAAGGGCAGACTCTTTATGAGAATAGGTACAAGCTTTAAAATTCTCTACACTTGTCCTGCTATTTTCAGTATTATTTGTTTTATTCTGAAGTCAATCGCAAGAAATGTTTCGCTCAAAGCTTTAGACTATTTGCCCATTATATCAGCAATATCGCATCATATCGGTTGATATCCAAAGTCTGGCTAAAAACAATATTTATTTTTGGGCTCGTCATCGCAATACCCTGCTTAAATCATGTACTCTATATGTCAAAGGATGTCGAGCTGAGTGGAGCAGCGCCTGCCTGCCAGGCGTACGGGTGAGCGAGGGGGGGGGGGGGGACTTCACGGATATATTTGGCCGCATATTGATTAAACATTTGGCCACGCAAAATGTTTTTCCCCCCCAACCAGCGACCCAAAATATATTCGGCGACACACAAAAATAAATCAAGCAGAAATCATCATAAATGAATTGCAGGTAATGGTAATGGAAAAGAAAATGAAAAATAAATAATAAAAAAAAAAAAAACTAATTAAATTTATTTTTAAATAAGCCAAACGCAAACGATGCGGAAAAATTGATTTAATTTGGCTTAGTTCGCTTGGTTTTTGCTGGTTTGTTTGCTTTGTTAGCCTCGCTTTGGCTTATTTTGGGGATTTTGTCTTTAAATCGCTGCCACAGCCAAGGCAAAACACACGAACACACCCACACACACCCACACACACACACACGCACACACACCCTCCCTTTTGGTAGATAGAACTTAAGCCGCTCGAAAGGTTGAGCGCCCCTAAAAATATATATACATATATAAAGCACATAATTTGCTCTGCACTGCCGTGTATATGTATTTGGTGCGTGTGTGCGACTGTGTGTGCGAGTGTGTGTGTGCCCATTTACCCCTTGTGTAATGGTGTGCTAGTTGCGTATCTATTGGATACCAAGTTATTGCTTTTTTGTGTTTGCTACTTTGTTGGCCTTTTGTTCGAATAAAATGCATTTTCGCTTAATCAAATTTAGGTATGTTTCATAAATCTATATATAAATAAAGGTATATCAACAGATTTTCCCTTGTGCAAAATATCAATCAATCAAATTATGTTTAAAAAACCATGATGCGAGAGAAGGGCAATTATTGAATGGAACTTTGAAAACTTGTTAATGCTAATTGATTAATATTGAAAATATTGTTTATATAAAAAACAAGTAAGAGGTTCTAGTCGGGAGCTCCTGACTAGGGGATACCCTGAACCGCCATCTTCCAACATCAAATGCATATATATATTTTATTTAAGACGCTATATGTCAAGTTTGGTGACTCTAGCTCTTTTTATTTACCAAAATTGCCCAAAAACAGGATACCGATATCGATATTTATCGATTGCTTGGAAACAGAGTAAGTTATCGATTATCGGAAACAAAATCGATACGTGCAGGCATTAGGAGCACCTACATCTAAAATTTCAAGTCTCTAGCTCTTATATGTTCTGAGATCCTTGCGTTCATACATAAGTACAGACGGACAGACAGCCAGACGGACATGGCTAGATCGACTCGGCTATTGATGCTGATCAAGAATATATATACTTTATAGGGTCGGAGATACTTTCTTCTGCCCGTTACATACATTTGGATTTTGCACAAATACAATATACCCTTATACGCATTTTAAATGGGTTCAGGGTATAAAAAGAAATTAAAATAGCAAACTTTGATCAAAACAAGAATAATTCATTTAATCAATAGAGCTTTGACAGATTTTGTAAAAATTAAACGCGTCAGGCGTTATAGAAAACGTAATCAAATTTATAAAAGGTCCCTGAATTGCCTTTACGAAGTTAAACTAAATTTTCTGTGAATTAACCTATAATTATGCAAAACTTTATTAAATCATAAGAACGAATCCTTTTTATACTAATATATATATATATGTATATTAAAGACTAAAGTGTTTCAGATATAAAAGCGTTATTCTGAATTGCAGTCCAATTTAAAAAATCTAAAACAAACAGAATATTATTTAGTATTTTTGAATGACTGTTTGGACTAGAGACATTTTGCAATATATCAAATTTTCAATAAACATATATTTGAGCTATAAAAGTCACTTGACATATATTTTGATATGATATTGAACAGCTTTTCCCCATGTGTTTACTGTAGAAAGAAAGTTCGAGCTTTGGTATTGGTAGCCATTCGTTAAACTAGATAAAAAAAGAGCCCAGCCTAAAGCGAAAACTGAACCGTACCATATTTACAATGGCAAAAGTGAAATAACTTAACATAAAAAACTGTTTTTAATAAATAAAAACATGTAAATATAATTAAATCAATTTTTAATTAATTATATTGAATTGCCAAAGTAGTAAAAGGCATTTTTATTAACATACCAAACATAATTGTCGAATATAATGCAATTAACACAAGATACACATACACACACACACACACACACACACACACATACAAATACACAACACAGCATGAAGCATGACACTATTTTATTATTCTTATTATTAATATTATTGCTATTATCATGCATTAAGAACAAACAAAAGCTATGGCAAACAAAGGCAATCAATCGCGCTCTCTACCCCATACATACACACACTTGTTGTCTGTCTGCCTGGATGTGTATGTGTATGTGTGTGTGTGCGTGTGCTTCTGCCGCTTCTGTGCGTGCGTATGCGTATGTATGCGTTTTACGGCATATATTTTATTTATAGCAACGAGAGGCAGGTGACGGCGGGCAGTCTGTGGGCGTGACGCACAGCGTGCGTCGTTAGCCTAATACACACACAAACTCACGCACGCACACACACATACACACACACACGCACACACGCACACACATCAAGAAAACCACTGACAACTATGTAAGCAGCAGTGAAAAATCTGTAGCATACTTTCCGGAGGGGCGCGCATCGCAATGATGTTTTTTCCTTTTAACTACTCAATTAGCAGACGCACACACTCGGACACATACACAACCACAACCACACACACACACACACACACACACTTAACAACCCCTGCACTTGCTTGCTGTGATTTCTCTAGCTCTCACCCTCTCTCTTTACCTCTCTTTCTCTTTTTCTATCTCTCTCTCTCCCGCTAGCAATGCCTTCTGTTCTCAAGGCCTTGCCTTGGCACCTGCCATTGGCATTGACAGAGGCTCTGACACCCACAACCAGACCCCGACCCGTAGCTCAGGCCCACGCCCACACGCCCATGTTCACGCCCACATCCAGGCCCGCAACCGGCACTGACCAGGACCATAGGGGACAGCTAGTAGCATCGATAGATGCCCCATTCGGTTGCCTTCAGCGCATGTCTATTGATTATTTCCATTGCTTCATTTTAGCTGATAGATTATTATTCTATTTCTTGTTGCCCCCAAGCTTATATTAATGCCTGCCCTTGACCAGGGCCAACGGACACGCACACAAACTTGATGGCCAACTAGATGAGCTCTGAGCATTTAATGATGTCCGTTATCGTTTTGGCAAAAGCCACAACACGTGGCTGCATCAAGTTTTGCATTCAGCTTCATTCATCCTTTGATTCTAGGCAAACTGGTTGCCAAGGAATTAAACGCAAATCAGAAGAAGCTTGAAGTGCACTCAACATCAACAATGCTTCAAATTAACAATTCATACAAATAGGATTACGACCTGGATGCAAGCTAACACACACAGCTTTTTTTAATGGCCCTGGTTACCAGGTGCGCCCAACAGCCGCCCACTTGCCTTGGATTTGAGCCGTTATCTGCCATGTTCAGCTGCTTGAACGACTAAAAGAAAACTATAAATTCAAATGAATTTCTGAAGTTTTCCTCATCATTTCTCTTTAAACTTGTACATATACACACTTGAACAGTATCAATAGCCAAGTCGCAAATCTGTTTGTGCAATCTAATTCCTTCTTCCTTGACATTTATATGGTGCCTTTTCCTTTTTTACATTTAATTCATGAATATACATATATATGCAAATGTCCCAGATCTTGTGTACAAATGTACAATGATAATACGTTTGCAGCTGCCACAAAGAGAGATACTAATTATATGACTAGACTTTTTATTGCATTCAGCATTTCCAACGAGTCAACAAATAAATCTCTTTATTTGCACCAGCTATAATCAGAGTCCATATTCCAGTCTCCTTAGAGCTTTAACGCAGCATACACTTGTCAGTTATATAAAGGCTAGCAGAAATTCCCCGGCCTTGCCCGTTCAGATTTTAGATATTAGATATTTCACGCAGTGCCCGCACGTGGAAAATATAAACTTATCCGTAACATCTTAAGTTTAATTCAATATAAATATAACCTAATTTAAAATTAATTTCTTAAAGATCGTTTTGCGTATGATATAAAATCGTTCAGTCAACGAGTGAATTTTGCAAAACGTGTGAAACACTTTCACAAGAAACCTTGGATATGAGCTTAAGCACGAAACATCACGCCCATTTCCACGAATGGGGAATGGGATTTGGCAGAAAGTGTGGAAACACTTTCCCAAATGAATAACCGATTTTCCCAACTATTGCGACTGTCCTGCACTTGCGGGTGGAATATACCAGAACCTTGTCTTGAAGGACATTAGCTAACTTCAGTACAAATTGAAACTACCTTTTTCCTACAACTTGTACTGTGCCTAGCTTTCACTCTTTCGAGTTCTAAGAAACACACAGAGATGAACTTCGAATTCACACGTAATACATTGCAGTAAGCTTGGGCCCTTTTATTTTAATTTTGATTTTCAATTACATGCGAATTTCCAATCAATTATGCGAATAGTTATTTGAAACCTTTTGCTGGTAAAACGAAATGTTTGGCAATTTTCAGTGAAATGTCACAGACCATTGCAGAAAGAGAAAATTGTGAAATTGGCAAAAAGTGCGTCTATTGAACAAATATAAACTCAGTATTCACATTAAACACCCACGTGAGCATGCAACAGCGTAGTTGAACCGGCTTTGGGTTTCTGCGTCATTTTCTGTGTGCGTCAAATGTGACCCAAATGTCTTTCAGCTCTCAGATTTCAAAGGGTCGGGATTTGTCGATGCTAAAATTGTCTGTGTATTTACGCACATGCACATATTACGCAAATGCTCATAATTTGATGGTCGGATGCACAACACGCTGTGCACAAGTATTTTTAATCTGTGACTAAGCCAAATGCGTGCGCGTTTAGTCTTTAAATGTGTACATTAAATTTGTACATGGAGTAATAGGAATTGCAAGTAAATGGAAATGGAAAAGGAAATATCTGTATTTTGCAGAAATTCAAATCCAATATAATCCACTTTTCCATACAACTGCAACTCAGATGGCAAAAAATGTATAGAAAAGCGATATTATCGGATTCTTCTGGTGCTAGTTGTTGCCATCAATCTATTTCATTCGATTTTTGTTCATCTTAACTTACCTTCTCAATGTTGTACTTCTCGAGGGCTTGAGTCGCGCAATCGACAGCATCCTGCTGCATCTCCTCGCTCATATCAGCATTCTTAATGACAGCTTTGCGATCGGACATGTTTACGTGCTTGTTTTACTGCTGTTGTTCTCTTGAAAGGGCTTTCGTTGCGTCTGCAATTAAAAAGAAGAACAGAAATTGCACTCTGTGTGGGTAGTGCAAGTATTTCACATTTCATTAGTACAGTGTTGCATACATTTTGGGGCAGGGGGGGGTCAGGTCAGGTAAGGAAACTGCGTTCATTAAGTTGTGCACTTCAACAGACACACAGCAACATCACGCAACAGTGGCTGTCATTGTAATCAAATTCTTAATAGAGTTATGGACATACACACGCACACACACACACACACACACACAGCCATAGAGACGAACACGGGCACACATGCACACATGACGCACGCGCAGTTTTCGATAAAGCACTGCATACTTTTGTGGGCGGGCGACAATGCGCAACGCTGGCAATTTAATTATGAACGACAACAGCGCACAACATTGCAAATCAAATATCAAGAGGAGCAGACCAAGAGCTCTGGACAACGACAGCAGCAGCCGCAGCCGCAGCCGCACCCGCAGCCAAGGCGGAAACAGCGCAGAACAAAACACGTATTAAAGTGCAGAAGACACACACACATACACAGACACACACCCACACACACACAAACATCAATTAGCAACGAATGAGTGAAGAGCAGGAGCAGGAGCAGGAGCAGCAGCAACAGTGCGAGAAGCGCAACGAATGCTGCGATAACATATTGTGGGCCAGTAAGAGCACATACCATGGCCTTGGCAACTGCTGCTGCTGCCAAGGACAAAAAGAGAGAGAGAGAGCGAAAGAGAGAGATGGAGAGCGCGAGTGGGTGAGAGCGAGAGAGCAAGAGCAAGAGCAAGAGCAAGAGCAAGAGCAAAGCCGACTATTGCTAATTCAAATTCAATGCAACGGCAAAAACTGAATATTGCATGAGCTATGCTTGTGATGTTGTTGTTATTGCTGTTCGTTTGTGTTATTAGTATTGTTGTTGTTGTTGTTGTTGTTGTTTTTCCTGTTATTGTTTGTTTCGTTCCTTCGTATTGTGTAGGATTATAAGCCAGCATCCACGGTAAAACAACGTAAACAAAAACAAAAATGCAATTTCCTAATGCGCCAACATGCAGCAAAATACGTCATGTTATTAACCAAAACCTATTAAAACTAGAGCAATGCAAAGAAGCAGAACATAATCATACTGCATGCCCTGTTAATTGCGTTGATGCGACCAAATGCAAACAAAATTAAAGAACTCAATAAGATACGGGTAAAATTTGAGCTGAGAACTTACGCTTTCGAATCTCTATATATAAAACTGTTTGTCCCGACTGACTTGGTTCTCTATTCGATGCACTGAATGACTGACAGACTGACTGACTGAATGACTGATTGACTGAATGACTGATTGACTGAATGACTGACAGACTGACTGAATGACTGATTGACTGACTGAATGACTGATTGACTGAAAGACTGAATGACTGATTGACTGACTGAATGACTGACAGACTGACTGAATAACTGAATGACTGACTGAATGACTGACTGACTGAAAGACTGAATGACTGATTGGCTGACTGACTGATTGACTGACTGAAAGACTGAATGACTGATTGGCTGACTGACTAACAGACTGACTGTATGACTGATTGACTGACTGAATGACTGACAGACTGACTGACTGAATGACTGATTGACTGAATGACTGACAGACTGACTGTATAGCTGAATGACTGATTGACTGACTGACTGACTGATTGATTGACTGACAGACTGACTGAATAACTAAATGACCGACTGACTGATTGACTGAATGATTGATTGACTAAATGACTGCCTGACTGACTAACTGACTGACTGACTAACTGGCTGACTGACAGACTGAATGACAGACAGACTGACTGAATAACTGACTGACTGACTGACTGACTGACAGACTGACTGATTGATTGACTGAGTGACTGACTGATTGACTGACTGACAGACAGACTGACTGAATAACTGACTGACTGACTGACTGAATGACTGACTAACTAAGTGACTGACAGACTGAGTGACTGACTGACTGACTGACTGCCTGCATGACGATTGGTGATCAACGCACAGCACAAGCCGTAAGATCTTCAAAGCTGCAATTCGTATTAAAGCTTCCTTTCCTTACGGAAATCGCAAACCCAACGATTGTATGCAAAAACCCTTAAAACAACATACTCAGACAAATTATTTTGGTTTATTTTATTGTTTTGCCATTTACAAGCATATCATATGTATTTCAGGCAACAACCAATCAGTCGATTCAAAAGTGTAATTGGCAAAACGCAGAGTTGAGGGTTTTACCTGACAAAAAGGCAGAATATTTGTCCTAATTCAAAGTAGAAATAAAATCAAACAAAAATGTGTTCTTTTGAGCAATTGAGCACAGCTAATAAAAGCAATGAGAGCTATAATGAGGAGCCAATGTGGAATATGTTGCATATGTTAGCTGCTGTCGATGTGAAGCAGATATTAGCGGACATCCTTAACACCTGGGTTATTAATATATTGGATGAGAGCAAGGTGAATGCGTAGATAGGAGTAGAAGCCTACTTCTTAACCTACTTCAAGCCTTATTCTTACGTTGAGGGTGGGCCAAAGGAAAAACGCGAATGCTTAGATGCGTGGCTAAATTTGAAGGAACTTGCCAAACTGCATGCGTATAGAATGGCTTCGAGAAATCAAATATTAATAATATGCTAGGAAAACATTTGAAAATCTCTTGACTTTCAGACGAACGTCAAGCCAAGCTGCAAAGCTATCTGACAAACACTATATGTGTACATATATATTTCATGGAGTCATCTATGTCGATATTTTTGATCCTTTGCGTTGCGACACACGCTTCCATTTCGAATTGCAATCAAGCGAAAACGGCTGCCATAACTTCACTTCAATTATTTATTTGTTATTTTGTGTGTGCTCATGTGTGTTCCCATATGCCACAATTGATTTTTGTGCCTTTGTACTAGTCTGCAGAATAACCAATCTACTATGCTTGTCAACCTGATTATGGTTAATGCAATGCGCTAATTGAATTTTAGCCCACTTGACTGGGTCACATTGATCGAATCATGATGCCAATTCACGTGCGAATGTTTGCAACAACTGGCATGCTTATGCTTGAGCTATATATGCTCTAATAGAAACAAGTAAGAGGTTCTAGTCGGGAGCTCCCGACTAGGGGATACCCTGAAGCCTCTTCTTCCAACATCAAATGCATATATATATTCTATTTTAGAAGCAACATATCAAGTTTGGTGACTCTAGCTCTTATTATTTACCAAAAACAGGATATCGATATCGATATTTATCGATTGCTTGGAAACGGAATAAGTTATCGATTATCGGAAATAAACTCGATCTGGCACTAGGAGCAACTACACCTAAATTTCAAGTCTCTAGCTCTGAGATCCTTGACGGACGGACGGACAGACGGACAGACAGACAGACATACATGGCTAGATCGACTCGGCTATTGGTGCTGATCAAGAATATATATGCTTTATGGGGTCGAACATGCTTTCTTCTGCCTGTTACATACATTTGGATTTTGCACAAATACAATATACCCTTATACCCACTTTTAATGGGTTTAAGGTATAAAAACAAAAATAATCAGGCTCCTGTTAAAAGTATCTATCAACTTATCCAGGAATATAAAAGATAGCAGCGCGTAATTCAAAGCGGCCATAAAGGAACCTCAACCGTAGAACAACCAACTCGAAACGGCGACGAGTTTTTAAGCCATATTTATATATATATATATATATATATATATATATATATATATATATTTATTTATTTATAGAATCTGGATTAAAGCTACTTTGAATTCATAATTCTGACATTGTTTGCTTGTCTCCCGTTTATTTTAATTTTGGTTTTCGCCCCACCCTGCGACTAACAACAAGCTATTTGAATTCGCAACCAATTGCTTAAGCTTTTCACAAACAAGCCAGTACATAAAAATAGATGGTCACGTATTTTGCCCGAAACGGATTCATTCAATTGCGCATCACTTAAACGACTTATGCAGAAGTTATCCCGATGAGGATGCCTCTTCATCATGGTATCCCAAATTTCATTTGAATCCATCCGAGAACTCTGCGCACTTAAACAGTCTAATAAAGTTCATCAGATGAAGCACAAGCCCAGATAGTTAGCAGCCAAATGGCAGTTGTCCTTATTAAGCATTTTACTTAATTATTATTCAAATAAATTACCTGTCTGCATGTTAAGCGGAAAATGTATTTTGGTAAAAATATCAACGAACGTGACAACAAATGCATAAATTCGCATTTGCAGTCATTTTGTTCGTTGACAATTAAGATTGGCTGTCAGTGCACTTAAATAGAGGCATTTTATTGCAATTAATTAATTAAATTGAACTTTTCAAAACAAAAATCCAAATAGTTTACCTTTTTGCCCCTCAGCTTCCATATAGTTTTCTAGTTGAATGCAAATTAGAGATGACAAATAAATGAGGGGGGGAAGCAGGCGGAAATGTTGCTAATAGTTTGCTGGCTAACAAACTAACTGACTCATTGACAGCGCGGAGACAGGTTGGACAGGTGGGGTTGGGGGAGTTGCAGGTGGACGATGATAGTAGGTCAACTATAAAATGTAAAAAGTCGGCACACACACACACACACACTCGCACACAAAGAGGCAAATTTGCCTTAGCCCATCCCGCCCACACACGCTCCTCGCCTACGCTCCACGCTTTCTCGCCTTTTTCTCCCGCTATAATAAATTCATGGAAATTCATTTACGCGCAAAAAGGATGCAGCAATTGGCAGGCAGGAGGCAGCATTATGCAGCATGCAACAATGTGAGGCAAATGACGTAGACAGCCACAAGGCACTACAGAGAACGGACAAGGGGTGGGGTGGTGGGGGGGGTGGGGCAGCTCTCCTGATTAAGTCAATTAGAAATGCATTGAGAGTTGGACAAACGGAGACAGCTTGTTGATTACAAAAAGAACGACAGCCAAATCGATGCGCAATCTACGCAAACTGATCTGTGTGCGTTTGTGTGTGTGTGTGTGTGTGTGTGTGTGTGTGTGTGTGTGTATGTGTGTCTATGTGTGCGTAAGTACGTAATTGCATTTATGTGTGCGCATCAAATGAGAGCTGTGTGTGCGTGTGTGTGTGTGTGTGCAGTCCCCCTACAAAGTATGCTACGGAATTAATAAACGACATCGTTACGAAATGCTGCAAATGCATGTCTGCTTATGTACACGAATTTTTCCAATTATCAGTTTTTCCCTGAAAATGAAGCTGTTTTTAATTAACAATATTGCAATCTTTACATTTTCTCATAACATCGTCTTACGTAAGCCAACGGAGGGAAGAGAGTAACGCCAGTGAATGGATTCGCAATCAAAACGTATATATATCTACTTGAAGTCATATTTCGTCATATTTCAAATCTAATATAGATGTCATTTCCAAGCCCATAAAATAAATTGCAACTTAAGTTGTCTGTTCGTCTTCTTATCATAGAACGTAGCCTATGATCGTTTAGAAAGTATTTGACATTTGGTTTTGGAAAGATCAAATTTCCGCTAAGCTGGCAGGAGTTGGCAGCATTAGAAAGAGAGGGTCATATGCTACGATCTTAGTGCGCAATTTGCACAGCAGCAAATTCGGTGCTCGGCAAATTTGACAAGTGTGTGTGGGTGGGTGGGTGTGTGTGTGTGTGTGTGTGTGTGAGTCGCACTCCCACGACAATCAAGTTATCAAATCGGTTTGCTACAAAAGCTCTCAGCTCCATAATTACCTCTCAAGGCATGCTCATAAATAAATCGTCAGATTAGGTAAAGAAAAAACTCAAATATCTAAATCTGAAATAACAAATGACGTCAACTCGAAAACGGGCCTTTTATTTGATAATAAGCTACACACAATAGAGTTTAAGGCATTCAGAAATCGTATAAAGCAATGTCGAAAACATAATAGAAAGGAATCGAATCAGTGTTGAGTCAGTTTCTTGTTTGTTTTTTTTTTTTTTATCTTTTTTAAATATAGAATAGTGTTGAGTAGTGGCGTATGAAAAGTAGTCGAAATGAGACCTGCTCCAAACAACATTTGGCCAATTGCGTGTTTTCGGCTTTAGGTAGTGTTGTGTAGTGTCAACCTGCTGGCGCCATCTCTGGCTCCGGCCGGAAACTTATGCACCCATACCCGAGCCCTCTCCCAAACAATTGATCATGCACATGTACACACAATCATGCATATAAGTAAGTATGTCAATTTATTGCACAACTTAACTTAGAACTTTTCTCACGCGTCGACACAATTCACTTACCTTAGTTATTGTTGTAAAGTTGCCGTTGTCTTTGGGAAGTTGCGCGCAATCATTTGCCGTATGTCAAGGCAAAAAGTTTTTTTTCTATGCTTTTGGCGGCCTGGTAGCTAATTCAACAGCTGTTTACTAATTAAAGTACATTTTCGAATAATCTCAGCTAAAAAATGCGCAAAAAAAAAAATCTGTCCTAACCCATCAAACTGAATGCTGTATAGGAATGTGTGAGTATGTTTGCATGTGTGTTTTAGTGTGTGTGTGCGTGCATGTGTATGTATAATTTCCTTTTTGGCAATTTTGCACGCAATAAAAATTTGGCACGCCGCGTTTAGCACTTAAGAACAAAAACAGGAACATTAACAAAAATTAACAAAATATTGTTGGCACACGAAAAGACTAGAAGGTGTGCTAGTTAATAAGAACATTTGTGTTTACCGCTAAGCGCACTCGTCGTGACTAAATTTCAAATAACACTTTAGGTTGGGAACGCACTTTGTTGCGAGCTGCTTGCTTGCCTGTGTTGAACTGTTTCGATCGAATTGCAGCCGACAGACGCAGAGGTGCCCAAATGCCATCAGTGTAGGCGACATGCGAATTAGCTCATCGCTGATTGGCTGAGCTTTGGTGGCGTCTGGCAGGCCGCTTCTGGCAGGCTGCGTCTGGCAGCAGTGTTGAAGATATTTGTAACGAATATTAACCGTTTAACAAGTACTTTTCAAGTAGTTTTTAAAACTTATTCAAATTTTTAAACACCAATGTGTATATAAACTCTGACTTATGCATATTGTTTCATTAAAAAATGTGCAATACTTTAATATTATCGTAATTACATTGAAAAAACCTGTTTTCTATCAAGTATTTGGTATCTGATAATGAGTAACTACCGAGTACAAATAAACGCGGCATCACCATTAACTTCGAATTTAACAGAGTTGCATTTGACGGCAACAAATGAAAGCGCGCTAATCGCAAAATTCAAACTGATAGAAAGATTTTGAAGAAATATAATTATTATCTGATAACTTTACCATATACACTTAATGTCTTTGGCATTGCCGAGCACTAAACTATATTTAATTGACAGATAATATTAAAATGTGTAGAAGAATTAGAAGCATTCCAAAAATTATCGGCAACGGTGCCGTGCAACACTGCAATAAAAAGCAATTCTCGATAGCAAAATTTTAAAATAAATGAATAAAATGAAATATAAATCCAATTACTAAGCTGAAAGGTTGACTGTGAATTAATATATTGAATTCATAATAAAATATAAATTTTTTTTATTCATATTATATAACGCTACTATATCATTCTAATTTATTCTGACCACTTGGCGATGAAGAAATTTTATTTAGGCATTGGCATTCACACTTGTAGTGTGCATACATGTGTAGAAACACATGCACAAGCAATATAGAGAAAAACAGACACATCAGATTTAGGGTTGCTCACGCTATCGGCTATCGCTTGGACATGTTGCCCTCTAGCTCCGATTAAACCGCCTAACCTCAGTACAAGAAAAAAAAACGCATATTCAAATGTCCAATTTCCCATTACTTTGCCCGCCCGCAATATTGACCCATGTACATAATATAAATATTAGGTATTTATTTTTAAAACAAGTGCATCCTTATTTGTTAGTATATGCAGTTTTATATATACTTGTACATATCTACAAAATGTTATACCTACCATGTGTGGCTGGCCTGACATTAAAATTGGAAATTTTTATTTGTTCCCTTTACAATGGCTGAAGCGAAAGCAACTTGATGACGAGCAGTTGTAGCGAACAACAGACATTAGCAGGCATTCGAAGCATAAGTGCGAGCAGGACCACTATTGTCTGCTTGCTGCTATTAGTGTCAGCTATAAGTACATACATAAGCTGCTTGTGTGAGTGTGGGATAAAACCAGCAAGGCAGCGACAACTTACAAGAGCATTGAAGCGCGCGCTGCCGATGACTAATATTTCAGGGCTGCCAGATAGGGGCAGAGATTGTGTTTATGCAGGGTGTGGCCGTTAGTTAGCATTTCTTTGATTTTTTAAAATGGACCTACCTGAAGAATTCATTTATATTCAATATTTTTGTAACTGTAAAATTTTGATTCTAATAAAGAATTTTTTTTTGTCTTAAATACATACATATATATATAAGCATAAGTATTGTATTGTACTGACTTACATAGCTGTATATATAAGAATACATACATGTATGTATGTAGGCATAGCTAAGGAATATTAAAAAAAAAGGTTATATTTTTGTTATAGTGCCCAAATATTTTAATCAGTGTAAAAATTCTTTTTTGCATATGCCAGTGACATGGTTGCACTTCGAACTTAGAAGCAACGCGCCAACCTCTGTTGGGGGGTTACGCAAACCTGTCAAAAGCATGGGATCTCGCCTCTGCACCGCAACCCTGTGTGTGCCTACTAAGCAATTTCACAATTTTTTCTCTCAGCACGTCTGGCAACCCAGGCAACACAGCAACTCAATTGCCCGACCGTTTGTTCGCATACATGCTTATATACATATATACGAACGGATGTATGTATGTATGTACACGTTTATATACCGTATGAGCATGCGTGTGTGTATTTGTGTGCCAGAGTGGCCTGCCTGCCCTGCTTGTTTAGCGCCCGCTTATTTTGTGAGTTGGCAGCACAAACAAGTCGCAGCGCGCTGTTCAGTTGTTTTTTCCCCGTCAAACTTACGCTACTGCTACAACTCTGCTGCTCTCTGTTCGTTCGTTCGCTTGCTTTCTATTTGATTTCGTTTTTGTGTTATTAACAATTTGCTGTTGTGTGTGTGTGTACGTGCTTATTTCGAAAATTATTCTAATGAAAATGCTCGACGACAAGAACTGCAGATTTAAAAAGAAAGAGTGCTGCTGCAACGGCTTTAAGAGCAACAACAACAACAAAATCGACAAAAACTATACAATTTGAAAAAGAGGCTGCAAACGAGTTTTGTTTGCGTTTGCAAAGCGCGCGCATAATCTGAGTTTCCATCAAGGTGAAACTGCAACTGGCATTGACTGCTTATTTTCCCATCGTTTTACACCAATTAAGAATCAAAAACAATCACAGGGGAAGTGGGAAAAGCACAAGCAGCAGAAAACGGTAAAAATTGGCGGCGATTTCCAATACAAAAATCAAAATACCAACAAAAAGCAGAAAGAAGAAGGCAAGCTGCCACACACAGACCCAGAGCGACCAACGTAAATACTATAAAAACCCACACACACATATATATATGTATACACATCCAGCGTAGACAAACAAAGGTCGAAACAGTTGTGCGCTCGCTTGCACACACTTTGCTACCAATTGATGTCGGAGCGAGACGGCGTAAATAGCAGTCAATATTGGGAGTGCGAGTGCCAAATGTCACATGAAATTACAACACTGCTGTGAAAGACGAAAGCAACAACAGCAATCAGCGCTAAGCTAGCAAGAAGAAGCAGCAACATAAACAAAACCAAAACAAGTACAAAACGGGCGCCGGCTAAAACCAGCCCCCCACCTTCCTTTCTCTAAATGCAAAAATGCTGCCCAGCATGCAGACAACAACAAACAGATATCAAATGGAAACAGAACGGGATGTTGCCCATGTGGAATACGATGTTATAAACTACTACACAGATGCGAATCCGAATCCGGATACAGCAGCAGTAGCTGCCGTCACCGAGCAACGTTGTTCCCGGGTCAACAACAGCAACACATTGCTTGATGTTGTTGTTCACTCGAGATCAACGCGCGAGAATTTTAAAACTGTTGGCCAACTGGAGGTTCCTTTGGCCACACCTACAGCAACAACAAGCACTAACAGTACCAGCTCAACGCCCCCGATGCGCAGCAAAGGTGGCGGCAATAGCGGCAGTAGGCAGCGCAGCAAGGAGAGCACCGGTGCCAGTGCCACGCCTACATTAGGCGTCAATATGCGTGTGACCGGGCAGTGCAGTCAGGGTGGTCGTAAATATATGGAGGATCAATTCTCTGTTGCGTATCAGGAATCGCCTCTGACGCACGAACTGGAATACGCATTCTTTGGCATCTATGACGGCCATGGTGGTACAGAGGCGGCGCTCTACGCCAAGGAGCATCTCATGCTGGAGATTGTTAAGCAAAAGCTGTTCTGGTCCGATAACGATGAGGATGTGTTGCGTGCAATTCGCGAAGGCTACATTGGCACACATTTTGCCATGTGGCGGGAGCAAGGTGAGTGAGCGAGTCAGCTATATGAACAGCTATTGTACAAGCACTCAAAAAAAATAATCGCTTATCGATTGGCTCTGCTGGCAGCGAGTGGAATATTCCATAGGCTTGCCATCTGCTTGCAATATGACGTATGTTGGCAACCCCGCTGTTTCTGCTTATTATGGCCATAAGTTAGAGCGAGTTGGCAATACTCTTCAACGCATATAGCATCGCAGCAAGTGTGCACATAAAGAAGGTTGTATTTGTATTTTGGTGTTAGTTTGACGTCACAAAAAGAAATAAACGTTAAAATTAACAATGATCAAAATCATTAAAAGCAACAACCAACGAAAAATATATATATTCTTGTATAAAATAACATAATAGACTTTTGCATAGCGCGATTAATCGATATATTTACATTTTTAAATTGTTATCGCTGCAAACTTATTATTTTACGGTATTCATTGTGTACTATTTATTTACTCACTTTTAGATAAATGGCCACGCACGGCTAATGGGCATCTGAGCACCGCCGGCACCACAGCAACGGTGGCTTTTATGCGCCGCGAAAAGATTTACATCGGTCATGTGGGCGACTCGGGCATTGTGCTGGGCTATCAGAATCCTGGCGAGCGACGCTGGCGCGCCAAACAGTTGACAACGGACCATAAGCCCGAATCCCTGGCCGAGAAGTCACGTATACAGCGTTCCGGCGGCCAGGTGGCCATCAAGTCTGGTGTGCCGCGCGTAGTCTGGAATCGTCCCAGAGATCCGCTGCATCGCGGGCCCATCAAGCGTCGCACACTTGTCGATGATATACCCTTTCTGGCTGTGGCACGTTCCTTGGGCGATCTCTGGAGCTACAATTCGCGCTGCAAGGAGTTTGTTGTTAGCCCCGATCCGGATGTTAAAGTGGTCAAAATTGATCCCAATACGTTCAGGTGTGTGACTCCTTAGGGACTGATTGGGAATGCAGATTGGGTTAACGTTGATAAAAGCTTAAATGTTGTTCTTAAGGTTTTGAGTAAAAAAAAAAAAAAAGAAAATCATGCTTAAATTTAGCTAATCATAAAAATGTCTTTTTAGATGCCTCATTTTCGGCACGGATGGCCTGTGGAATGTGGTGACGCCGCAGGAGGCGGTCGACTCAGTGCGTGAGAAGCACATTATTGGCGAGTGTCTTCATGAACAGGACGTTATGAATCCTAGCAAGGCGCTGGTCGACAAGGCCCTCAAGACCTGGGCCACCAAAAAGATGCGTGCGGACAACACATCCGTTGTAACTGTGATACTGACGCCGGCGGCAGCGACAACAACTTCAGCTGCCGCCAGCAGCAGCGATTTGATGGAGCTGGAACCGTCGGATACGGAGAACAATTATCCCGCCAGTTTGGGGGAGCTGGAGCATGAAGAACTCAGCTTGGAGCTGTGCGGCCACATTGAAGAGAAGGAGTATTTCCATGACACGCCCTACAGTGCCTTGGCCAAACGGCATTTGCCGCCGGAGCCGTATCGAAATTTCGACTATTATATTGAGGAGGAGCTGTTAGAGGAAGTCGTCGAAGAGGAGGAGCAGGAGGAGGAAGAGGAGGAGGAGGAAGAGGAGGAGCAGGAGGAGGACGAAATCGATGACGATTTGGTACAGCAGAGCAAATACTGGCGCAAATCTTTGCAACAATCAATTGCCAGCTGGCAGCAAACATCAACGATACGACAACGTCGCACGGATATCGATGTGGAGATGCAAGAATCCGAAGATGTTGTCGAACCGGCAGCGGAGCCCACACTCGAGCTATACAACAGCAACAACAGTTGCAGCAGCAGCAATATCTGTGCATTGCAGCAACAGCACCTGGAGCACAGCTATGATAGCTATGTTAGCAACGCGGCGGTCAGCGCGAGCACCGAATATAGCTTTGCCGAGTCGTATAATACGCTGCTAAACGAGCAGCAGGCGGCGCAGCAGCAGCAGCAACAACAGTCACAGCGGCAACACCAGCAGCAACAACAGCCACTGGTGGAGCAGCAGCAGCAGCAGCAACAACAACACCATCACCACCAGCAGCAGCAGGAGCAGCAGCAACAGCAGCAGCTGTTGAATAGTACGCGCAGCATGCAGGAGATATTGCAGGAGCAGCAGCGTTACCAGCAGCAGGAGGGCTACTCGCTGACGCAGCTGGAGACGAGACGCGAGCAACAGCAGCAGCTGCAGCAGCAGCAGCAACAGCAGCAACAGCAGCAGCAGCAGCAACAGGTTGCGCATAGCAACAGGTGGCAACTGGAGCAACAGCAGCATGAAGCGTCGTATGTGGAGCAGCCGGCAGAGCTGCTGGCGCTTAATGCGCTGCTGCAGCAGGAGCGCGATGAGGAACAGCAGGTGGCACTGGAACGGGAGCAACAGCAGCAGCAACAGCAACTGCTGCTGGTTGAGGCCAGCTCCAGTTCCAATTCCAGCTGCAGCTCCTCCAGCTGTTCCAGCCAGTCTGCGTTTGTCTATGCACCGCCCTGGAGCGAACCCAGTGTGGACACGCTGCAGGACAATGAGGTGAGCTCCACGTTGCCAGCCACGCCCACGCCTACGCCCTTGCCAATGCACAACAGCAGTGCGGAAGAGCAGTTGCTGCAGTTGGAGATTAGCGAGCAACCGTTGCCGGCGCCTTTACAGCAGCAACAGTTGCCGGCGCCCTTGCAGCAGCAACAGTTGCCGGCCATGCAGCCCCGGATCCGACGACCAATGCGTCGCTATCGCAATGTGCCCAACGAGAATCACCAACACATGCAAACACGACGCCGGCAGCTGTTCAAGCACAGCAAAAGCAAGTCCTTTATTGGCGCCAGCGCAGCTGCCATTGTTGCCTATGCCAACAGCAGCAGCAGCAGCAGCGAGGCATTGCCCAGCGGCAGCAGCAACAGCAGCATTAACAGTGGCAGCAACGGCAACATTAACATTAACAGCAGCGGCAGTAGCGCTAGCGTCGGCGTCGGCGGTGGCAGCAGCAGCAGCAGCAGAAGCAACCGGCGGCGCAGCGTCAACAGCGGCAGCACCGTTATGATGACGCGTCGCAGTCACAGCTTGAGTTTGGCCAGCAGCGGCGTTAGCAAGCGGCAGCTGCGCAGCACCATTTGTCAGCTGAGCAGCTTAGATATGACAAAGCGGACGCTGCGCACGCGCAATGCGCCGCCAGCGGTTAGCAGCAGCAGCAGCAACAACAATAATAATAATAACAACAACAACAACAACAACAACAACAATAATAACAGTAAAAACAGCAGCAATAACAACAGCAGCAACAACAACAACAACAACAACAACAACAACAACAGTAACAACAGCAGCAACAAATCCAGTCACACATTTAACAAGCCGGCAACGCCAACATCTGCAACAACAGTTGGCGGCAGCGCGCGACGTCTGCGTCGCACCAATGAGGAGCGCGAACAGCGACGCAGCCTACGACGCAGCACACTTAGCGCCAGTCAATTGTCCAGCAGCAGCAGCAACAGCAGCGGCGGCGGCGGCGGCGGCAGCGCCAGTAGTCAGTTTAGCAAGCCAACGCGACTGCAATCATGCGGCGGTGGCATTGCAGCGCGTCCGCCGCCGTCGCCAAAGAAACTAAATGCAGTCGTGCCGACGCTTGCAATTGGAACGCGCGCCTATACAGCGGCTCTGGCGGCAGCAGCGGATTTGAGCAAGCGTTGGTCACTGCGCAGCAGCAGTAACAGCAGCAGCGGCAGCAATATCAGTAACGGTAATAGCAACAGCAACAGCAACAGCCTGAACAGTAACACCGCGATGGCAACCCTTGTGTCGGCCATCAGCTGTTACAGTGCGCGCAGCCGAACAGCAGCAGCCGCGGCCGCAGCAGCAGCAACAGCAACAACAGCGACAACAACAACAACATCGCGACGGCGCTGAGAGCGATATCATGTTTAAGTTGAGTAAAAGTGAAGAGAGTAAATAATTAGTGAGTGGCGCTGCCAATGCGTTTCAAAATTACAAGTACAAATGCTAAAATGAAACCTAAATAATTAGTTAGAAGATGTGACAAAGTGAAAGTAATTGGTAAAATTATGTTACTTTGTAACAAACCGAAATTGTAGGTGCACACACACACACACACACACACAGACGACACATCGCACATACTTAGATGTTGTACATAACAAACAAATACTTAAGCTATATAAACACATGCATATACATACACAACATTTACACATATGTATACATGGATATATATATATATATTTATATAAGCATAAAAAATTTATTGTATTAAGCGCTTAACATATGTGTATGCATGCATCAATACATATACATATACATATATATATATATCAATATATATATATATATATAGGTATATATATATATATTGTAATTTTGCATTAAGACAGCAGGTTAAATCGATCATCGTTTATGTCCGCCGCGTTAAACAAAAGCTTTACCCGTTTAAACAATATTTGAAGCGAGCTCCTTCATTTTTCAACATCATGTAACGAATTAAGTTGTCGAAAGTATTTATTTATATAGTCTAGATGTGAGACGCTAATAACTATAAAACATTCATATTATTTTGAAATCACGTTTCTTGCATTAAATTATGTGTAGTTTAGTTATAAATTATAGCAGTATATATATATATATATATATACTTGTCGTCTACTTTTTTTTTAATGTCACTTTAAGCTTAATCGAATAAAAGATTAAAATAGTGTATATCGATTTTTTTTTTTCTTAAATTTATTGTAATTGTTACCAAGAAATGCAAATGCAACCAAATTTAATAAAAGAAAATATTTTGTATGAAATAAACGAAGCGATATTTTTATAAAAATATAAATGAGCTCGGCTTTAATTTGAAATGGTCGCTTGAATAACCGTTTGTGGCGCTGAACAAAGCAGAGCTGCCATATGCGGCTCAGCAGCACAGTGGCAACTCTAATCAAAAGATATGCTCAAAATGCCGATATCGATAACGATTGGCGCTGCAGACCAATTTCCTTCTTTTTTGAAGAAAATAAAATAAACAAATTCACTATCTCTCGTTCTTACCTCTCCCTCACACTCATATGGCAGTGCCACGCGTGACAACAAACATCAGCAATATTCAAATGGACTTTACGCGCCAAACTCAAATCTGACTCTTCTGATTCGCTGTCAAACTGGCGACTCTGTGTGTGTGTGTGAGTGTGTATATGCATGCGTATGTGTCTGGGTGCGCTTGAGTGGCAAACAAGGAATCGAAATCGTGTGCAAGCCAGGCAAAGCCGATACGACAGCAGCAGCAGCGACGACGACTGCGGCGCAACAACAAAAGTTCTAGCCATTTGCCGACAACAGTTAAACGCGTTCGTTTCTTTCTGCTGCGCGCTTGCCGCCCTTACAGCGTACGTACGTACAAATTTTGTTTTCTGTTTTTTTTTTTTTTTTTTTTTTTTGGGCATATTTGTTTGTCTAGCAGTGTGACGACACATGTTTGTTATTTGTCTTAGTGCATATTTTGTTAATAACTTTGACTGTTACCAAAAAAAAAAAAACCATGCATAAAAATTTGTTTGATTGTGTGTGTGTGCTCATTTGTTGCAGAGTGTAAACAAAACGGCGCAGCGCGTGTAACGTACCACAGTGCGTGTGTGGTTGGTGGCAAAGTCTAGCTCAAAATCTGTGCAATATGCTGTGTGCAAATTGACAGCTGTGTGTGTGTGTGTGCGCACTCACACAGCCATAAACAGGCATTGTCAGTTTTCTTTAATTATTTTTTTTTTTCGATTTTTTTTTTTTTTGGCTAAGCGTGAGTTATTCTAGTCTTGAATCAAACTTAAAACTTTGCTGCTGCTGAATCCAATTGGAGTTTCTTTATGACTGTGTTGCCGCCGAACCGTCTGTCTGTCTGTCTATCTGTCTGTCTGTTTGTCTTGCTGTCTTTGCGCGCGTTGTGCGTGTGTGTGTGTGTGAGCGCGTTTGTATGTATTTTCCACCCCAGCAGCGTTTCGAAACGCGGCCACAGCTCGGCTCCCGGCTCGCAGTTTTGTGCGCAGCTTCCCTTGAGCCGGATTCCCAGTTCTTATTGTTCTTCATGTTCTTAATGCTCTTGTTGTTGTTGCTGTGTTGTTGTTGTTGTTGCTATTTAATTTCAACCCCCCTGGCAGCGTCTTAAAACGTGTTTCAAAATGGGTGGCTCACAGCTGTATGTTTTTGGGCTTTACCGCTGCTGCTGCTGTTTACAGTTGTTGTTGTTGTTGTTGTCGTGGCGCGTTATCCTTGGCTGCGGCTGTGTGCGTGTTTTCGTCGTTAGTTATGACATCAACACACGCTTTGGCGCTGGGCCACACTTTCACACACACACACACACACACACACGCACCATACCCATGCATACATGCAAGTTGCGCTGCGAGCTTTGTCCTTTGCCCAAAGCTCGCGCTTGCCTGCCCTCCAGCTTCGGCGCTTGATTCGTGCTTACAGCCGCCGCTGCGTCGTACAGCGTTGCCATTGTTTCGCGTTTTTGTTTTTGCTTTGCTGCTGTTGCTGTTGCTCTTGTTGTTGTTGTTGTTGTTTTTGTAATTGTATTCGGTTTTATGCCTGTGAGCGTGGCATTTTAACTGTGTTTGTTGTTTTTGTCGTGGCTTGCTCTGCAATCGTCTTGCAGTTGACGCTCAACATTAATTGTTATCGATTTTTTTTTATTGTCCCTGTGCTGCTATCGGCTTGCAAATACATATGTACACATGCATATGGCTTATACATACATACACATGCACTTCAATATATTTCTCACTCGATTCTAATTTTGTGCGCTGCACGCGGCCCATTTGCTGCGTGCTTTCAACTTTGGCTTATGTGCATCGATCCTCCTGCTGCTGCACTCATATTTACTCTCTTACTTTACCCCAGCTCTCTTTCTCCGCTCTCTCTCTCTCTCTCATACACACACCTTGCCACCTTATGGCGCAACTTAAGAATCGATCATTTTCCAAAAGTGAAAAAAGAAAAAAAAAAAAAAACGCAGCGCACATTCGTAGGGAAAACTTTTTATGACGCTTTGGCCTAAAAATATCGCGACTACCGAAGATTTTGAGTTGGACTCGCAGCTGTTTTTGGATTTTGTTGGAAATATGACACTTATCCGAGTGTTCCACTAAAGATCATTCTTCTCACATGGTTTTCCATTTCTGTGCTTTTGAAGAGCTCCGCGGAATCTTACAGAGAGCAAGTCGCTTTAACTGAACATGATCAGCAATTTTGTATGAATGTAACTCCAAATGGAAACTTTCAAAACTTCCACATACATACATACATATATGTATGTGTCTATTTTGCATACTAAATTTGGGTTTTATGAACAAATACTTGGTATTCTATTAATAAACGCATTAGCTTAGAAAATCATCAACAATTTTCTATGGCTGCATTCGAAAAATGTTGTGCAATCCTTGAAAATGCGCCAAAATGGGTATATTGATTTTGTCTAAGTGCATCCATAGATATATATATATATATATATATATATAAAGTGTGTCTGAGAACAAATATTCGTAAAGATCATTTCGAATGAGCTTGCGCCCATTTGAATCTATTTTCCCTTTAAGAGGGGTGGATTTGGCGAAAAGCGTGAAACACGCTCGATTTTCACAAGAATTTTCGAAAAATAAGCTTGAGGCAAATCGAAAGGAACTTAAGATCGTCGCCCATACAACCTGTGACTATCATTTTCCATCCAGAAGAGCTGAATTTTCCATAAGATTCTTGAACATGAGTTTGAACCCAAAACCCATTTCACTTCCATTTCCACCATTGAGCTATAAATTATCCGAAAAGTGTGAAACACTATTCAAATGAATTTGAACAAAGATATTTGAAAATAACTCTGAGATCGATTGGATAGTAATCAAAAAAAAGTTGCATACAAACGTTTTTCGCGTTTTTTTCACATTTTCGGGTGAAACTTAAGAAAAGCCTGCTTTGGGCTGGGCGTTCATCAGCAAAGAAATAATATTATTTATTATCCAATCTTCTGTTAAAGACGGTTTTCTCTGTTTTCACTGTTCCATCCGTTAGTATACCCATAATGGAGAGCTGTATCTATTATTATTATTTTTTGAAACGATTTGGCAATCTTATGCCACGTTTACTCCATCAAATGTTTTGCTGTCCCAAAGTCAGACATGAATACGAATCTATATTTTTATATGTACGCCAGTTTGTGTGTGCCATCAATGCTGATCGTGCGTTTTATTTATAAAGTCCAATACGAACTCTTGCACTGAAGCTATGTCTAATCCAAGCAAACTACTTGATTCTATAATTAAAATGCTGCGCAACTCTCGTCATCTTTAAGTTTAGAACATTTTTCCCAACTAAAACAAACGTTTGTCTCACCCTCTCTCTCTCTCTCTCTCTCTCTTTCTCTGTCGCTCTCTCTCTCTCTCTAACGCTCTTGGCCCTATATCATTTTCTGGGCAGCCCCATGCCGTGTAGTCGAAGCTTCTTTTCGTTTATTTTTGGCTTGGCCATATTTATAGCTCCTGTTCCCTCTCTCTCGCCCTCTCTCTCTCTCTCTCGATCTATGGCTGCACTGCTCGCACTTTTGGGCTCGGCTCTAATGGAGTGCGTATATCAGAGTTAGGTTCAATTACCTTTAAATGGATTATATAAACAGACACACGGGCACAAGATGGGCAACTGATATCAAACGGCGCATGCACCCAACACAACCACACAACCACACACACACACACACACACACACACGCAGGCGCGCAGATTAGGCAGACGTGCGTCTGATCCCAGTTCTCAGTTGCCAGTTTGCAGTTAGCTCCGTGCTCCCGTTTGCTGTGCCTGAGACCACGGCGAGGGGCGCAACGTTCGACGTGCAACAACAGCAACAACAACAACAACACAAGATGCTGCCAAAAATAAATTTGAACTCAAATCGCGGCACAGGCGGGCAACTAGGCGAGGAAAAACCAATTCGAGTGCCAAGAAAAACCAACGCAATGCATTTTTTTCTTCTCCTACTCAAGAGCCAGGCAAAAGCACAATCGAACCGCGTCGCACCGCACCGCACCGATATAAACATATACATATGCATATGCATATGCATATATATCTATCTATATATATATATATATGTGCGTGTATATCTCTGCTTGCAACATGCCCCTGCCACTGGCCGCAGCCGCTGGCAGCTCCT